ATACATCCGACTGCATGGTCATGTTTATGAGAGCCTCAAATCTCAGTGCAACGGTTCATTTAGTTTATAGGTTTGTAAATTTATGAACTAAATTTAATTGTCAAAGCAGGCTTAGCAGGGAGTTGTTATTTAGCAAAGGTCCTTTGAGTGTCTTAGTTATTCCATCGCTGCAAGATCTTTGTGAACAGGGACTGATCCAGAGATGTCCGGGGGGGGGGGCGAAAAAAGTGGGTGTATCGGGGGGGGGGGGGGGGGCGAAAGTGGGTGTATCGAGATAACACCACCCTCTAGGGTCCATGCCCCCCTCGAAATTGTTGTTTCTATACGCTCGAAAATAACCTCTGAGCCGATCAATTTTCCTTTTCAGTTTTTTTAACTTTCCTTACTTATCCCCCCCCCCATCCACCCCTGCTGAATCTAGCCTCTTCATAATTTTTTTCATCATAATTTGAGCGGTTTTCTTCGCTGTTTGCTTAACCGTAATAATAAGAATCTAAGCTCCTGTCCAGACTATCAAATTTTCTTTGACAAAAACTGTTGTATGCCCATATATAGTCATGCTGTGCCTATATATAGTCATGATATGCCTATATATGGTCATGATGTGATGTGATGTCATCATGCCACAATTTAGGCATGTCACATGTTTTTGACAAAAATAAAATTTGATCGTCTGGACAGTTCTCAACAATAGTACAAAGGCCTGGTCTGACGTTCTTTAAATATGAGCATAAAACATATTTATTCTGTCGGGCCGGTGCGCTGCTCGATATTGTGTGCTCCCTATTAACACTGAACCGTCACATCACATCACATCGCATCACATTAGATTGCTTTGTGTTTACACAACATTACATTACATTGTGCCTACACAAATATATTACATTACATTGAGCATTCAGTATATTGTATTACGCATTATACGACATCAGTTGCAGTTGTTGTAGAAAATTAGAATAGTGAAGTATCAGTAGACTAAACTCATATAATGAAAGATAATTTAACCGAAAGGTCCACTGATTAATCTCAGATAAGAAAGTATAATACATACTCCAAGTATTGAAATACACGCCATCGTATTGGGATTCAATATTTCGACATTAATTATGTCATCATCAGGAATGAAAAAATTATCCATATTAGCAAGCTTATATGCACTAGTACCAAAAGTGTTTAACCAATCAAAACATTACCTCTAGTAGGTGACATAGCAGTGATTTAAACAAAAGATCAAAGCACTCTTTTTTACTTTTTTACTCTTAATATTGCTTTCGTTCACATTCGTGGTCGCAGTCCCCCTAAGCGACAAAGTGGTGATGAAACTGAAGACATTCGCCATTTATTTAACTGTAAATTATTTGATACAATCAGAGAGGCAGAAAGTGGGGGTGGAGGAGGGAAATACTGTTTTTAATTATGATGTTCGATCTGCATTTGACAGATACTGTAAAATATTTGCTAAAAAGCTTGGGATAGAAAATCAGAGTTAAAAACGGGTTAAATGCATTGTTGCAAAATATTATATATATATATAT